TAAGGATTGTAGAGGAAGGATGATCTAGTGCTTAAGGTGCTAGTATAAGACTTGAGACCCACACTCAATTCCCTGCTTTGTCACAGACTTCCCATCTGTCCATAGGTAAGTCACTGAAACTTACTGATGCGTTCCCATCTGTAAAACAGGGATAACTGTCACGGATACACAGGATCGGTGCTATGTCCACAGCTATGGAAGAGTCTCTAGGAGGAACCCCTTCAGTGTGCCAGATCCCCAAGGGATCTTACTCTTCCTCCAGGGTAGATCATGCTACATTACTGCCTCCTTGACTGACCCTCTGGGTATTTTGCATACCTCAAAACTTTTTCCTATAAACCTCAGGTGTCAATTCAAATGTAAGCAGTAGAGCCTTTTTTGAACTGTTCAGAGTCCCCAGTATCAACTCCTCTATCTGGCTGTATGCCTCTAAAGCTTTGGGATTGAGGGGGTGAGACAGTGGAGCTAGTCCACAGGGTCAACCAGATATAAATTTCAAGTCTTTTTAAAGCCCGTGAGGTAGGCATCTATATCCACCCCATTTCTTAAACTGGGGCAACAATTTGGTATCTAGGCTCCCTGCGGGAATTAGCATTGCAGGGTCTCTCTCCTCTTACCCCTCTATAGGTCCTGTTGCCCCTCTGCTACTCCATATTCAGTTCTTGCTTTCTCTGCTTCCCTTGGTGCTTTTGCTGATTCCCATGGTCAGGTTGTTCCTTCTCGGTCTGCTAGCTCCTTTGCTCTCAGCTTCAACTCCCACCACTTCAAATCTGTCAGTGGGAAACCTGGCTGTGAGGACACCCTGCTGGAAGGGGAAGCGGGTCTTGAGGATGCTATGCTGCTGCGTCTGTCACTCGGATCCTCTTGGAACCAAGGCTGACAGTGTACTTGTGGCATGAGGGTGGTGGTGCTGGGTTTGGTGGCTTACAAGCCAGGCTATTCCATTTGGGGAGTGTGAAGGTCAGGCCTCTGGTCTTAATTCTCATGCCCCAGTGAATCCAATTCACAGGGTGTACACAGAGCAGACGTAATCACTTTATCATCCCCAAAAGAGGTGGCTGGGAAAAGGGTCTGGGGTACCGGGACACAGATGCTGAGGTGATACTGGCAAGGCTCAAAGTGGTGGACCCAGATCAGTTTGTGCCCAATGAATAATTGTGAGGGGGAGGTTGGACCCTCAGTTAAGGTGCCTATAGTGAGGATGTACCTGTAATGGGGTGCACACAGACTGCGATAGAGGACCTGCAAAGGTGCTCATGGGAAATGATCTGGATGACTGGCCAGATGGTGCCAGAATGGCTTGGTCCTTAGGAGCCAGAAGCACAGAGTACCACCCTGCCCAGACCCAGAGTTGTAGACTACCAAGCTTGGGGCTAGCAAGCGTCTGACTGAAGGAAGTGTGCTCCTTGGGACAGGGCTGCATTGGGCGAAGCCAGAGCGGGGAAAACCAAGGCACAGCCAAAGGGTTTGTGACTTCAGTCCCTGCCAGCAAGGAGGGACAGTCATACTCCCTGCCCTAGCAGCTGAATTTCAGGCAGGCCTGCAGGAGGATATCCCCCCATCCTCCCTTAGAGAAGCTGAGGGCCATGGCAGGCTGCAGTGCTGCATATTCTCTTAAGGCTGACTGCAGGGCAAGATTCCTGTGGGAGAAGCAATTCCTGTATAGGGAATGGGTTCCTCCCCAGCACTGAGTCTTGGGTCATCAGGAGGTAGTTGGTGGTTCCTCAGAGGTACCGTCCGAGGCTATCATAGCTGGCCCATGATGTCCCTCTCTCAGGATATCAGGGGATCCAGTGCACCAGGCAAAAGCTGCTGCAGAACTTACTGGCCCAGACTCTTGCTGCAGTCAAGCAGTACTGTAAGTTCTATGATCCCTGTCGGAGGGTAGGAGTAAGTGTAAAGCAGCCCTGAGACCACTGCCAATCATAGAGGGAACCCTTCCAGAACCTGGCGATGGACATTGTGGGGCCCCGTAGCAAGGCAATCTGGTCAGGGAAGAAATACATTCTGGTGGTGGTAGACTTTCCACTTGCTAACTTAAGGCAGTGGCTCTGTCCGCTGGCTATGCAGATGCACGGCTGACCATTGTCAGCAGAGAAGGACTCCCCAGCGAGGTCCTTACAGACCTGGGGCTAATTTCATGTCAGACCTTTTGCAGTGCTTGTAGGAGAAATGTGGGGTCCGGCACACCTGTGTCTCTGCACATCACCCTCAGACAAATGGGCTGCTGGAAAGGTTTAATGGGGCCCAAAAGATGATGTTGAGGACTTTTGTGGACCAGCATCCACAGGATAGGGACAAATGCTTAACCTACCTGCTGCTTGCTTATGGGAAAATGCCCCATTAATCTTCTTCCCTTTTCAATTGCTGTATGGGAGACGAGTGAGGGGATGCCCTGGACTCGCAGAGGGTGGAGTGGGAGGGGAAAATCTCCCTCTATGGAAAAATCAGTGGTGGAGTATGTGCTGTCCTTTTGAGAGAGGCTCCCTGAACTCCTGGGTTTTGCTAGAGAGAGTGTAGCCAGGGCCCAAGGGAAACAGAGGATCTGGTATGATCACTCTGTGCATACCTGCCAGGGCCGGCTCCAGGGTTTTGGCCGCCCCAAGCAGACAAAAAAAAAAGAAGGAAAAAAAAAAAGCCGCGATCACAATCTGCGGCAGGAGGTCCTTCGCTCCGAGCAGGAGTGAGGGACTGGCCGCCGAAAGCTGAACGTGCCGCCCCTCTCTGGAGTGGCCGCCCCAAGCACCTGCTTGCCAGGCTGGTGCCTGGAGCCGGCCCTGCTACCTGCTCATCTGGCACAAAGACCAGATGATTCATAGACTCTAGGACTGGAAGGGACCTCGAGGGATCATCGAGTCCAGTCCCCTGCCCTCATGGCAGGATCAAATACTATCTAGACCACCCCTGATGGTTCTCATCCATTTGTGATGGGCCTTCTAAGTCATCAAACCATTTAATGAAGTGAATTATGTGGTGGAACTGTCTGCCCTGGCTTACAGCCATCAAGTGGATCGTGTCAATATGATGAAACCATACATTGACAGGGAGAAATTGGTGCTGGCAGTGGGAGAACAAGGAATATCCCCTGGTGGCTTTTATGCCTGAGATGGGATCCAGCCCTTCTCTAGAATCGATTCCAGCAGGCCTGGGCTCACTAACCTAGCTGTCTAGCAGGTGGAGACAGGAGCCCAATCACCATCAGATGTTCCCCTTTCAGAGTCACTGGTTAAAGTGACCCTGGTCAGAACAGTCTCAAAGAGTGAAGAGATGAGAGAGTGGGAATTTTCATTAATTTTTATGAAGCCTATATGTGCATCAGTTTCCCCTA